AAAAAAACCGAAGACCTAGAATTATTTCTCAATTATCTTATTGAAAGTATTTCAAAATCATCATATTCAAATTTGGAATGGAATTCATTTTTTCGAGTCTTTGGTCATCATACGATAAGAATGGAGATATTCTATATCTCCATACAGTACTACATGATCTAAAATAATGCCGACAACATGGATGCTATGAAGTACGGTAAATAGCAATCTGCCCTGAAATTGTAACGAAAACCCGAAGTGAAGAGAAAAAAATCCAATGATTCATCCGGTTGTGGCTACGATAACCGAGATCCCATCGATCCTGTCTGATAAAAGCCTAATAAACATGCCAGGACCAACTTTGAATCGTGTTGCGTTGCCCTTTACTGAACTTTTTCCAAAATCCTTTCTGAACCATTTCCATCAAATCCTCATCCTTGAATCTTAAACTGTTTTTTCCCTCTGCTCATCCTCCTGGGATCTTAAAATAGGAGGTCGCAGTAATTGTGGTTGCTTTTTTCGTCAAGTTCACCTAGGAGATGCTACTATTAATTAATATTAACGTTATATGGGTAATATGTATTTAGTAGGCTTTTGGTAATCAGACTATTTGAAAGAAATGAAATCAAGTGACTCTTTCTGAATTATTTCCTGTAAGAAAATGCTACGGAAAGATGTCATTATTAGTAGGCCTAAGCCTATGGCCTATTTCTCGGATACGCCTAATTCCAAGTTATTGGTGTGTAGAGCTAGGCGTCTTGATCCCGTAGACTACGGTACCGTACTTAACGGCTAAAGGCTGAATAGATCTGTAAAATCTGTAAAAATATCACTATATTTCCAGTAAATTTAAATCAGGAACCCTAAAATAACTGAATATTATAATTGAAGTGCTCATTAAAAAAGATCGAATTCCAATGTAATGAAACATGAAGCAATCGCGTCTTCGTTTCTTTCTATATGAAAATATTTAATTGCTATTACTGAAGAGATCTCTGCAAAAATGGATACCGTTTTGTTAATATAAGTTCTGGTTTGTAAGGCCAACCTAGGAATTCCGAACGTTAAGCATTTGCTTAGATTAAGAAAAGAAAATGTTTCCTCGTTCAAATGTTCAATTGAATGCTAACGGTAGGCCTATCACTTATTTGAAAATAAAATGTAAAAAAAGTTGAAATAATGAACTTAATTTTTCTTATTAATTTGTTCAAAAAAGATAGTAGAGTTTTAACATTGAAAACAATCTCCTTCCCATATATCCCATATGTAGTGAGTTAATACTTTCTTCTTTCGAGTATAAAGCTCGTTCTTCATTGAATTACCTTTCAGCCTGAAGCATGTAAGTGTGCGAGTGTCGATAAACTTCTTCTAAACTCCTCGTTCAAGTGTATTTAGTGCATTTTCTCAATCATTTCCAAATTTCAATTGACACTACGGACTTAGACTACCGCAGTACGAATCCTTGGAGAGAATTCTAAGAGTTGCAAGTCCGTAGGCTTCCAGAAAACTGATCACACTTCAAGCTTCTCACTCGTACTATTTATACCGATGTCATTATAGATATTATTCTAAAGTCCCAATTCAATTGAAATGAAAACAATGATATATCTCAAATGATCGTCAACATCTGCCAATAGGTAACAAAGGTCAAACATTTGAGAAGTGGGGAAAATTGGCAGACTGACCGAGGCCTGCCTATAAAACATGTTAAAAGGTTGTTGAAATGACGTTAAAAAGTTATACATGTTCAATTGCGCGACGTTAGTGTAATGATGAGGAAAAATCAATCAGCATTTTAACGGTTATTTGAAATATTCGAAGTTGGAAACATACCAACTGAGTATCCTATATTACAGTATTAACAAAGATTTAAAACACTGCTATCAAACCATATTTGACGGTTGCTTATTGCCATTAGGACAACCTACGTCAAAGGGCAAAGATGATGAGTTAGGGAGAAAAATTAAACCCTATATTTGGATCAGTACCAACGTTAACCCGTTCCCGGACCTTAATGTCTCCATGGAAATTGTCACAATGAAAATTGCCACACTGCACGTAAACCTAATACAGTAATTGTCACACTCTTGCTCGTTTTCACAAACTTTTACAAAATAGGCCCTACTCCGTATTTTCCAAATGTTTCTAATTCATGCTGATTTCAGATTTATCTGATGATATGAATATACATTCATAATTTGATCTTCGCTTTATCATCGTAGTACAGTTAATGAGCTTATAATTTAGGCGCAACAGTTGGTTTTCTGATGTACTTTTCGATTGCAGTTAAGCAAAGTGACGTTTGCATCATCCGTAAACATTTGTCAGTAACAACTGCTCAGTCATGATATTTTATGATAGTATCCTATCATATCATTGACTGCATATTACAGACACTTTTTTAATTGGATCTTGTTTATTACTCATGACTTTCAGTCTGTGCAATAGTGAATATCACGTGACTCTGCATTAATATTTTGGACAAAACCATTACACCTGCTAAAAAGGAACCGTTTGGGCGCCGCTGATTTTAAACTCAGAGCACAAAAAAATGGCCGCATATTACTACTTTTAAAAGAATTTAACAATAAATTTCCCTCAATTTCCGATTAAGTTAAGTTAATTGCTGCGAAGCGGTCAATTCATATTCTTGACAGCAATTTGACCTCTGAAAGATCATTGTTTGTCAAAAAACAAGGGCC